AAATGACTTATTTTATATCAAAATTTAAGACCAGGAGGTCAATTTAACACATTTCCTAAAATGTGTAATTCATTTAGAGTTACAGACTATCACTTTAACTGTAATGTATTTCACAAAGAGCATTTTAAATATTTGTTTAGAAATTGTTTGAAATCACTGATTTTACAGCTAGATAGTTTTAATGTTGTGTAGTTGCAGGAGAGGGGCATGCAAGGCCACAAATTATTTTATTGTCGTTGACTGTTGGTCTGTTTCTATTCTTGTCTTATTCAGGTTTGTTTTTGGCTTTCCACATTGTTGGCAGTTTCTCCTACTTCTTTCCTTTTTCTTCCTAGGCCTGAGGGAATTCCAAAACAATAACATGTAAACTAAAAACATATTTCACTTTTAACAGCAGTTTTTGGGCAATGTACGTTTTTCCAATTTGAAATAATGGAATAGAGGATTGTATCATTAGGAATTACTCTGTTGACTGTCATCCCCATAGGGAAATCTATCTACTGCATTAACTCGTTTGACAGCCAGTCCCTGAGGGTATGGAGTAATGGAGAACTATAGCTTATCAAGAGAACCCCTCTCTTGAGTATACTTATAGCTGGAGGTTAAGCCAATTGTGCCTTTTTGGTTGACCAGAATTTTGTCTTTGTATGTACTTTTACTATACGGACATATTGGTAATCTTCTGTTACCTTTGGTTGCATATGTCCTAAATGGTATCTCGTGTTTTGATTGCAGCAATTTTGCACCATTTCTGTTGCAAACTTCAGTACATTCAGGTTTTGTCTGCTTCAGTGCTCTCGTTCACCAACGCTGGAGGGAGAGATGTGTTACATAACAGTCTACATGTATGTGTAACTGATTACAAGCACAACAGAAGAAACCGGACCTCTGTGCCAATCGCATCTGTCGCCCTACTGTAAGCCTTTCCTGATTGGCTGAGGACAAAAAGACAGGAAACAAAGTCAACATGGCAACACAAAAGTCCAAGCCCTCACATGGCCACAGTGACATCTGCATTTGCGGAGGGTGCACAACGCCTGATTAAAGCATATATCAGCATTATGCGGCTAAAAATATCCTGTGCTGCTCATACGCTTGAGGTGTTGGAACATTTTTAGCCGGCTGCTGTAATCCTCACAAAAAACAGAACGGAACATCTCGACACAGTTTGCTTGTCCTCATATGTATCATCTAACAAGCTGCAAACCAAATCGCAAATATGTTTAAATTGAGATACATTCATTTGCACAACGTATCATGATTTAGGGATTCAGAGATGGCAAGCAAAAGTAGTTTTCCTGATGGTTTTAATTTTAGTACTTTAGTCTTTATTATTTTTTATTTATTACTTTTAGTTTTTAGTTTAGTTTATTAGAGGGGGAGAGCAACATTAAGCTCAAAGACAGATATGTTCTGAACCAGATTATAACTAGTCTCTATCTGCTGTCCCCAGTTACCCCGTATTTAACCCTTGAATAGCCATGCTTCTAAATGAATTCATTGTGGTTAACTTATGCTTCTAAGCACAGATAAGCATTCAGTGAGTTGTACATGTTTGATATATTCTCATATTCCCTTTTAAACACAACTGTTTCAAAGGGAATGTCTCAAATAAATGCCTTGTCCATAAAAAATCAGTCCATAGTTTGACAAACAAATAACAAGACAAGGTGATCCTTTGTAAACTAGGACTTGTACTTTTTCCACCTTTTAGTAAATATAGTTGAATAGTTCGCTTTTCAAAGTTAATGGATTTTTAATATACACGACATAATCCTTATATAATGTTAATTCTACTTTTATTATTGGTCTAGGTAAATAGGGTAAGTCTTACATATTTAGTGCACAACATTGCTCAGTGTGTTGTGTGTAAACTGCCTCATGCCAAGACCTTTGCCGTCCACCTGTCGTCCGAGGGCTCTGTCAGATCATGTATCTGAGCGGGGAGGGGGAGGTGAGGGTCAGCCAGTTCCTGTAGTGTAGTGGTTATCACGTTCGCCTAACACGCGAAAGGTCCTCGGTTCGAAACCGGGCAGGAACAGCACCTTTTTCACCAGAAAACTAAATTAGGATGTCCTCATATTACATGCATAATATATTAGAATGTCGGGAAAAGCAAACCACTTCATTGTGAAATCCTGTCCTCGGTGGAAACTGCTGCGAAGAGTCATCTGGACACAGTGGACCTTGTTCTGATATTAAGATGTTGGATTCTCATTCAGCATAATTTGCAAGTCTGAGTAGTTTGGTAGAAAACAAAAGAACAAAGAGGGCAAGCAGTTCAGGGTCATCTGCATCATGTCTCAGTTGTTAATCCAGTGAGTTTAATTCGTATTTTCATTTTTTAATCATTCTTTGTTTCATTTTTTATATGTAAATTTCTGATACACATGCAGGAATGAGAAAAGCATTCGTAGAGTACAGACCACTGCCAAGAGGCACAATTGCATTCCTTAATAAGGTTCCTGGATAATGACATGATCCGGATCACATCGGAAAATCGAACAATTTGTTTCTTGTTTCATTTCTGAGGTTCCGATTATATCACACACGGACTGACTGAGTACATCTGGTGAAAATAGAATCTTATCTCACAAATATAACTAATAGCAGTTGTTTTCTTGTGAATTAAGGAAATTTACAGATTAATTATTATTTTGGACTTCTTTTATTCACTGTTCAGTTCATTCAAGGATCTCACTGCCTAAAACTCTTTGAAGTTGGAACAACACTGCTCCAGCTGAAGTTGATCTACACTCTGCATCCGGGGGCATATGACAGTCTGTGTTTGATCCGCTGCACATGATGCTGCAGACTCTTCACAGATGACGGACATCTAGAGCGGAAAGAGCAACACAAATGAACCTTCTGTTTCCTCTGTCTATAAATGGACTGCACTACATCATCTGAGGGACACATTTGTTGCACAGCATTATTCTGGAAAACCAGCAAGGACAACGTTATGAGAGTCTAAGCATAAAGCAGGTTTTATCAGGCTATAAATGGAAAGCAATGCCTTCAGCTGGACCCTCAGTATCTGTTTTTCTATATATCTTTGTCCATGTGACACTGGTAATGCTGACTGGCTGCTTTATGCATTAATCACATGTGCTGATGTTTAATTCACTAACAGTTTCCAGAAGATCATTAATAAACTGTGAGACATCAAATATCCTCTAGAGGAAAGTGCGCAGGGCCCGCTCAGCTGGTCTTAATCCCAAAGCGGAAATCTGATTATTGTCATTGTTCGCTTTTAAATGAGATGGAAGACGAAGCAAAACATAGTTCCCTGTCTAAGAGTTGCAGAACTTGAATTTTTTATATTTTTTATTATTTTTTTCATGTGTTTACTTAGCAATGGATTGGTAACAATTCCAGATGTGTTAACTTTACTATTGTTTTTTTTATTTTCATCTTTATTGCTAAAGATAAGTTTTGTGTTATTCTGATTCATTGAGAAATGACTGTCAATCGAAACTGTGATTTTAAAATTGCATATGGTCTCATTTTTGAGAGATGATCAAAAATGAATAACCCTATATACTGAATAAAGTTGTGCCTCAAAATGTTTGCTAACCCAGGCAGAAATTTGAAAGAAAAAAAATATTGGTCCATAAAGCTGAGATTAAGTACAACAAAAAACCTAAATGAACTGCCTCTTTGTTTTGTCTTGCACATACTGCTGAACATGTTGTATGACAGTATATGGCTTCACACAACCACTATAATGAGTGGAGGAAAATGTTTTGTGTCATGATTCATCATTACAAAAATATTACCACAACAATGGACACTTAGGCTGTGTAAACTTTGAAGCACAACTAAAGTTTTGACGGGCTTCAAGACTACTTTCCTCACATGCCAGACACAGGCCCTCCTGCGCTACAGGCTGCCTCCTCCTGCTGTGCTCTGTGCTCGGCTGAATTTGGCTTCAGCTCCACCACCCGCCTACGCTACTCATCTTGCTCTACTGTAAAGTTCATGCCTGTTAATTTATGAAGGATAATTTAAAAGAAAAAATTCAGAAAAGAAAAAGCTATGACTAATGTGTTTTATCATAAGACGTTTGATTCACAGTCACATTATACCACGTCCCATTTTGTTTTTACAACCGTCTGACTGTGTTAATTTGTATGAAGTTTTAGGATAATCTGCTGAAAGGACATGAGTGCAATTGGGGCATGTTTTAGGGTTACACATGGCGTCTTCCTGGAAGGAGCCAGATTGAATTGTGGCACCTGTCTCCTGTTCTTGAACTCAAACCCTGCTGGGAGCAAGGAGACCTTCAAAACGAATGTGTGGAAATTTAGCCAAATTGATTTTTTACGAGGTAATGAAATGAGATCCCAAACAACTTTTAATGGCTGCTGACAATAAGAGAAGTGTGCTGCGTTCGTGCCTAACAAACAATCATTACCATTGCCCAAGTCCATCACTACAGAGAATGATAAAACTAAAGCAGTCAATAAAAAAGGCATTAGCAGTTGGTATGAGAGAGTAGACTTAATGACTGCAAGGCCCACATCAGCGAGCATCATGGGAAGAAGCAAAGTGTCTGTGTTAATCTGGAGATACATTATATATTATGCATGTATTCTCATTGTAATCATAGTGTAGTAAATGTGTAGTAAGTGATATCACAATCACTGGCAGACTGATCTGATCCAGAGGTGAACTACAGGACACACACACAGCAGGCAGCTTCAGCTCTCACTTCAGCTTAAACATGACATGCTTATGCGGCAGGCCATCGCCGCACTCCTTCATGTTGTTACACTGAGTGACCTGGGGAGGTTGGCTCCTGTAGTGTCGTGGCCGTCACATTTAGCATATGAAATATCCTCGATAGAAATAGAAATATAACAGCTGTTTTTCCTCTGACGAAGAAAGGTGTTTGCCTGCTGCTGGAACTGTTACGAGAGCCTCTTTGAACTGTGTAATTAGAAGAAATCTGCTTTAGGTTTTGAGAAAGTTAATTTTGTTTATGTTTTGTTTTTCAGCTTGATCCTCAGACGGTGCAGTCCAAGAACTGGCACATGGACGTCATAGAGATGAACGGGGTAAGAAAGATCTTCTCACAGTATTACAATAATATTACAGTGAGTAATGTGTAGCCTTTGGACTCCCTCTGGTGGAACTGGGATGTCACTTGTAACTAACAATTGATTATTAACTGGATCCATCAATGATATGCGAGTTTGATTTGATGAGCTTAAACTCATTTCACACGAGGCCTTTTTTTACTGAAAAGAGTAGGGCAGATAACAATGTTGATGATGGATTAGCAAGGATTATGGCAATAATTTATTTCAATTTTTATATACATTTTATTAGGTCCTAAATTGGATCTGTAATTGTTATTATTACTATTAGAAATAATAATAATAAAATATTTCTTTTGCCAACCTCAGCTGCATACAATCCAATAAAAACAAGTCGCACAAATATAAAAAAAAGAGAAAACAGTCAGAGGTTGCATAGACTATAGAAAAATGCACAAATGGATATTCTTTTGAGGAAGATCATTTGAAATTAGACATTAATTTCTTCAAGACAGAATTATCATAACAATTAAGATTGAGCAAAATTATAATATTGATATTGGAAGTATTGAATGGATGAAGTGAAATCCATTTAATTATCTTAATTAATCCAATAATTGAGCTGTTTGTTTTGTGTTCTATTTATCTCTAGATCAAAGTGGAATTCTCCATGAAGTTTACAAGTCGAGACCTCAGCTTGAAGAGAACGCCCTCCAAAAAGCAGAGTGGGGTGTTTGGAGTCAAAATCAACGTGGTGACAAAGTACGTGGAGACGAGAGTGTTTGTGTTAAATGAATATTAATAAGACAATGATGTAATGGTGTAACTCTGCGCAGGCGGGAGCGCTCCAAAGTGCCTTATATCGTCCGACAGTGCATCGAGGAGGTGGAGAAGAGGGGCATCGATGAGGTGGGCATCTACCGGATCTCAGGGGTCGCCACAGACATCCAGGCCCTCAAACTAGCCTTCGACACAAGTAAGCCACTGGTCCTAAGAGCAACACAATGGAGTAAAGAAATTGCATTTAATCAATAATGGCTGTTTAGTTTTAACAGATCATTATGAATGTGTTTTGTAGCGCCTAAAGTAACTACAGGCAATTATCAGAGTAAAGACAGCTTTGAATTCTAGTTAAAGATGTCAGAACCAGATAAGTCTGTTTATCTGATACCTGTGCAGCCTGTCCTGGGATCCTGACTCCAGTGGATGAACTGCTGTGGGGGAGAAATATGGATCTTTTCTCATAGTGTAATGGTTATCACGTTCACTCTGTATGCACAAGGTCCCTGGTTCGAGACCGAGACCATATATTATATCTACTTTATCAATGTGTTCTGAAGTTACCTCTAAATATTGTATTGATTCATTTCTGTTGTTTGCTCCTATATAATAATCATTTATGAAGAAGTCATATTTTAAAACCTGTAACAGATACATGTACAGTGTATTTAAACCTTCTGTGTTCCAATGTTTTGACTAAATTTACTTTACTGCCGAAACAGCTTTGAATCAGATCCTAGTCTGAAGATTCAAACACCATCACACATTTCCTTTTTTTTGCCTCGTGTTTTCTGTATTTGGCATGTATTTGGCACTTCATAGGCAAACTTACTAGCAAGGTTATGGAAGCTATATTTTAGTAATATAGTCTGGAAAGTTTTTGTGTTTCATTTGTGATTTCCCCTCAAGTGCTTTTCCTAAATTGTCCTCAGACTCCAAATAACAAAACTAACCACATTGAAGCTATAAGATTGTGATAATGTTGTGAATATTCAGCTGGAGTCACTCATTGGGCGTTGTTTTGGTTCCCGCAGATACCAAAGACATCTTGATGATGCTGAGTGACATGGACATTAATGCCATTGCTGGGACTCTGAAGCTGTACTTCCGGGAGCTGCCGGAGCCTCTGCTGACTGACCGCCTCTACCCGGCCTTCATGGAGGGCATAGGTAGGACTTCAATCAAGATGTTAATTTACTTTTTATACATTATTGTGTCTCTACATGATCAAAGCAAATTTCAAGTACCATTTTAGACACGCTTTTTTGTCTTTTTTTTGTCTAGAAAAGTAAATATATTTTCTTGTGCCATACAGAGAGACGATGAAAGAAATGTATTTCCACTACACAATTCTACAGAACAAAAGGAATTGGATGAAGCAAACTTATCAACATCCTATCCCTCCCTCACACATTAAAAGGAGTCGAGCATTCAAAAAGTCAATTTGGGACAAAGATGTCAAAAAGAAAAATACAAATATTGTAACACAGCTTAACAGTAACGCACGTATACAATCATATATATGGTTAACACAAGACTACACACACACTCAAATATGACATGAGCCCAAATACTCTCTGATCCTAAACCACTCTCACTGTCGTTCCTCCACATACTTCTGTAGTACTATTTTTAAACTGTTTTTTTTTTTTTAAATCAGTTTTTAAAAATGTTTTAAATCATCTTCTATGACTGTGATGTCAAAGTGGTACAACAACATCATACTATTACAGGTTTGAGACATGAGCTTTTAGACAGAACGGGCAGAGTTACCAGTAGTTATTAATAAAAAAAAAGAAATTCAAGTCTGTTTTTGATGAGGGAACAATATTGCAACATTGTTCAAATAAAGTTGATTTTATATAACATTTCTTTTTAAAGTTTTTTTTATTTTAATTCTATGAACAGGAATCAAAGGCTGTATGTAAAGTGCAGCCGAAGCGTTTGACATGTGGGAAAAACTATGAAGGAGTGATTGTACTTGACACGTTTCCCGTCTCGTGCAGCTCTTTCAGATCCAGCTGCCAAGGAGAACTGCATGATGCACCTCCTCCGCTCGCTGCCCGACCCCAACCTCATGACCTTCCTCACTCTGCTGGAGCATCTCAAACGGTACGCACTGGCCCCAGCAGAAGCCAATATCGTGTCTGTGAAATGTCCTGTTCTAACGTCCTTTTGTTGATGCAGAGTGGCTGAAAAGGAGCCCATAAATAAGATGTCCCTCCATAATTTGGCCACTGTGTTCGGCCCCACACTCCTCAGGCCCTCCGAGTCCGAGAGCACCAAGGGACAGCACATCACCTCCGCCTCCGACATCTGGTCACATGACGTCATGGCCCAGGTACCACTCCCACGTCACACCACTCAAAAGTGTAGTGTTCGCAAATATATCCGTGTCTCTTCAACGCACCTGCAAAAAGTATTAACCATATAGTAAGAGAAATACAATGCAATCCCAGAGGAGCTCCATTTGTCACAACCCAGCTCAGCTTAGGTGTAATGGAAGTAAAAATTCAAACCAAGATGTTGAAATGGTAACTCAGAATGTATTCAGATGACCAAATGGGTAAAAGGGGTAACGCAATATTTACAAAACACACAAAGTAAATATGTAAGTATGTGTACTGGGTGCATCTCTGGCCACCTCACCGACCCAGAAATGGTTTAAGGGGTAGAAAATGGATTGATGGATGGACAGAGTAAATAAATAACCTATAAAACTATTAAGTAATTGATAGAACTAAAGGTGTAAGTTAAACAAAAACTACACAAGTCACTAAACTAAAGGCCCGGCACAAGTGAAAATACACAGACAAACTTAATGGGAAAAAGTTAGGTCCAGTCCGCCATCATTTATACATTTTGTTTGACCCAACAGAAAGGGTATTATTAGAAAACGTGTTATATTTTGATTCTAAAGCTCAGTAATACAGAGCCCTGTGAGTCACTATATGACGCTTTGGCCTCTGATTGGCTGAGTGAAGGTGGTCCACCCTTTTTCTCCCTTTTCCTTGACAAAGGCCATGAATGGATGCGTAGGAAAACAAGAGATAGAACCAAAGGATTTTGGTACAGCTTTGAAAGTTAGGAATTTAAAAAGTTTTTATTTCTGATGTCTTTGAAGGGATAATAGGTTTTCTTGAAATACAGCCTATTCCATATTTTGCATTTGTAGGGATAAAGATACACACAGTTTACCAAACAAAGAGGAACATGTATAAACTATAAATGTATTGTGAATCGTTTGAGTAATAAAAAAGTCTATTAAATATAAATCCTCCCACGGTGATCAGTGACCCAGATCTCCTCTACTCACGCTCCCAGCTGTATTTAGATGTTGTCTCTCTCTGTTCATCTGCTCAGATATGCACTTCCTGTTTAAACATGACTTTTTGTGGGAAGGGTAAATCCAGACTAAATCAATATAAAACTGTATTAGGGGCTTGGAAGGTTAGGACAAAGGGAAGCAGGAATTCAGTTTACTTTGTACATCCTATTTTTGCAATTTATAAAGGGAGACATTCAAACTTTTTTCATAGAATTGCAAGTCCATTAAAACATGCCAGATTTTACATGCCGATGTTCACATGAGGTTTTCTGTCTTTTTTAGGTCCAGGTGCTGCTGTATTACCTCCAGCATCCTCCCATCTCCTTTGCTGAGCTAAAGCGCAACACACTTTACTTTTCCACCGACGTGTAATCCCAACCAGCACCAGCTCTCACCTGTAGGGGCAGCGTTGTGAACAAGAATTACATGGAGAAATATGGGACGAAGCTTTTCTCTGGTCTAAATCCAAGTCCACACCAACATGCGCCAGAAGACACACACACACAGACACACACGCGTTCACATTTTCTATGACCTGACGTTTGTAATTGTGTGGACACAAAAGGGCATTCTGGAACCACGGTGTAAACTTGTCAGAAAAATGCGCTCTTTAAAGACTTAAATCTCTGGTGTTTCCTGTTCAGATGCATTCCAGAGTAATCTTCACGTTTTTAATTGTTTCCCTGTATGGCTTAATGTATGTAGTGGAAGTGTGAGTGACAATGTGGATGTACACTTGCAAGAATGGGTGTCTAAGGACTGGACAGTGATAATAACTGCTGTTGTTGACATGAGAGCCCCACTGGCCAAATTACCCCTATTTATTTTAAATATATATATATAATATGTGTGCCTGTACAGTTGTGCGATAGAGAAGTGCTCTAAGGAGTATGTTTTTGAAGTTTAATCAGGTAGTGATGTTCTTTTTATAGTCTTATCTTTTCATTCACCATGAAACTGTAAGGACCACCTGCCAGTTGAATGATGGGGTTTTTGGGAAAATAACACAATGAATGGAACATGTAGTTATTTCTTGTCGTTGCATTGCAAGCCTGTTCCAAGTGTCTTACTGCACTGGTGTAATCTCCTGGATGGTTGTGTAGTTCCCCCTCATGCATGTTCAGCTTGAGCCAGGCACGGTAACACAAACGTGGGCTGTCTCTGTGAGGCTAAGCCTGTCTATGCTCTGTACAAAGCCAACCTTTTTGCTATCAAGCATATCTACAATACTGTAAGCACTGCTAGATGAGTACATTTGATATTTTTAATATAAGATTAAAATAAATAAAAATGTTGTACTTACTTCCATTGGGACGAATTTCATTATACTGTAATTTTGAGGATAAATGTCAATGTGAACTCCCCCTTTTTTAGTAAAATTAAAGTTAATAAAGCACTGTACAATGTGTCTGTGTCTCTGGTACTTGAGTGGTTTTTTTTTTTTTCTGGCGGAAACATTAGTATTATGCCCCCTGGTGGAGTCAATCCTCATAGAATTATCTTAGCTTTATAAAAACGATTAAAAAGAGCACACAAAGGTAAAGGTAGGTAAGAAAATAGGTTGGCAACGAGAAAAAGAAACAAAGTAAGACACCAGATCATTGACTTTTAATTGTTCCATCTTTAAAAGGTTAAGTGTAGTGTTTTTAGGCATAGTTTTCCAACCAACGTTATCTGCCATAGTAAAAATACTGAAAATGCTGAAAGGTCCACTCTGAGCAAGTGAGGGAATGTTGAGACAAGAAGCCTTTCCCAATCCAGTGCTTAGTTACTCCTTGTGCCCTGACTAACCCCACGGCCTCAGTGTTCAGAGCCGTCTGAAACAAAGAAGCCCAGAGGGAGCTACAGGTGCACCTGTAGCTGTGTAATGCTCAAGGACAATAAATATCATGGATCTAAGGGTCTGATTTGGAATCTCAAAACCTCTGCATTAGTATTCCGAGTAGTTTTTTCTATTAGAATGAAAAATAAATAGTATTGGTAATAATAGTACTTATGGTGTGTGTATTAATGATTTCTACTCTGAGGGAATGGGACAAGATCTATGGTTTGAATAAATGGTGCAAGTGGAAAATGTATCATGTTTTTCACATGGTTTAATTTATCTCTAAAAACATGTTTAACCTCTTCAGACATTAGTTTCAAAACAGAACAAATAGATTACAGTAAAATATAAAAGTATAAGATTGAGAACTGAATGCATGATTTCACTCATGAGACGTTACAATATAATTTACTAAATATATTTGTATTTGTATATATGTTGGTTACAGCAGATATAATCACCTCATGTACGCAGACGATCTGGTGGTGTTCAGTCCCTGCAGTGCTGGTCTTCAGCAACTACTTAATGTGTGCTCTCAATATGGTTTGGATCATAATATCAAATATAACGCTGCAAAAAGCCTGGTAATGATTGCGCGTACTAAAGATGACAGTAAATTATGTTTTCCTGATTTTTTCCTTTCCGGAAACCTTTTGGAATCTGCAGATGAGGTGAAATACCTCGGTCACTACATCACCAGTGACCTTTCTGATGACAAGGACATGCACAGGCAGCTGTGTCAGTTATATGGCCAATCAAATATGCTGCTACGTAAGTTTAGTATGTGCTCTCCTGAGGTAAAGGTAACTCTTTTTAAATCTTACTGCTCACCTATGTACACTGCTTACCTTTGGAAGAGTTTTAAAAAGTCCAGTTTGCAGAAACTCACTGTGGCCTATAACAACTCCTTGAGGCTGCTGCTGAAGGTTCCTCGGCACAGCAGCGCAAGTGAGATGTTTGCTTACTGTGGTGTTCGATCTTGTTCTGCATCTCTTCGAAATGTTCAGTTCAGATTTATGTGTCGTCTGAGGAACTCTATTAATGTGATTGTTAAGACTCTCGTCAGCCCCGAGTTCTGCTCACTGCTGTTCACCTCCAAATTATGGACTTACTGGAGGTTATGCCTTTATACTGTTCAGCAGCTGTAATGTTCTCTTTGGTTTGTTTTCTTGTATATATTTTTTCTTTGGTTTTTTTTAACTATGGACCGTGTTGTATTGTGTCCTTAATAAAGATTAATAATAATAATAATATGTTTAAGAATGCTGTGGCTATGCAACAGCGCCACCTGTTGGCAGTTTCTCAACTGCATCTTAAGGATATTTGAACATTGAGCCCCAAATTATTTAGTAATTTAGAAGACGTTCTTGTCATATAATTATTACGTTGAGTATGGCACAGTCTGTTGGCAGTTAGACTTTTTTTTTAATTACAACCACAAATCAACTGTAGTTAGATTCTACAAGTCCCAAAGAGTTACACGTGTGGACTGTGACAGAGGCACAGCTTCAGAGTTAGCTTGAGCATTTGCGACGTCAGCAACATAAAACATTGAAGTTTAAAATACTTTACATAACTTCATGTTTTACTCTTAAAATGTCCCAATCCATCCCGGTGACAATTGTTTCTTTCTGGTTCTTGTGGATCACCTTCCAACAAAGTCTGTACACAGTTGTACTTCAATGTACCAGAGGTTTGTATAAATAGTCTGTCTGGCCACAATCTTCACCGTAGATAATATTCAATGGCAGCAGAGAATGCAGCAAAACCTCCACATCCAAGAACTCCAGCTTTCAGTCCAGCTGTAAACACAGTTTACACATTAGTGTGCATATCATTTCAATGCCTGTCTATAGATGGAATGGCATAAATTACCTCTAAACCCAATAGCTCCTCCAGTAACACATCCACTATACACAGCATTTTTCCAGTCCGATACACCTCTGTGCTGTTAAAAAAAGAATTCATATGTTTAATTGTGATTCCTAATGTAGTTATTATTGTCATATTAAAAACTGTATCCTCAGAAGTGCAGCAAAGGACAAGAGACAAAGCCAAAACAGCAATTTCATATTTTGGCCCATTTGATCAAAAAAGATTACGGCTAAAATGCATGTTTGGGAGTTACGTGTGCAGTGTGTGCACACGTTATTCGTGGACATTAGAGGGCGTAATTGTGCCACTCATGTAGCAATGTAAGAAACCAGCGGTTATCTTTTTATTTTTTTACACTTACTACAAACTAATACAATACTTTACCACCATTTTTCTTCCAGAACTGCATTCTTGATGTACTGTAAATACATAACATTGACTCACTGATTCTATGATGCACTCAGTGCAAGAGAACATTGCACCAATGACGGCAAAGTTTTTTGCGTAGGACATGCCCCTCTGGCCCATGTCTTTAAGGACTTCTCGTGCTGTTGGTGTTCTCATAGGGTCTTTGGGATCGAACCCCACATTTGTGTCGATACCTGCTGTGAAGACTCCAAAAGCTCCTCCAAGAACAAAACCTGGGGAATATTATCACACAACAGATACAAGTTAGCGACACAAAGATTACACCTTTCATCAAGTGGTTCCAACGACTTTCTCTCGTCCAGAACACCAATCTAATTTGCTTGCAGTACAAAACCATAAGGATGTAGACACACCTCCAACACAGGCCAGGACAGTCTTGAAAGCGCAGCTTTCCATTCCCCTCTCGATCATCTTCTGCTCGTTACTTTTATGAGGGACTGGGAAACCTCCCATAACAGTGGGGTTTAGGTCCTTCACCTGCCTCTTCTGCCCGATAAGATGCTCCAAGACCACACTGTACTGGATTTCAGGGCCATTATCCGCTAAAGTAGCTGAAATGGGACTCGAAGCACCAGCATCACTCGCGTTGTCCGCGGAGGCCGCCATGTTTCTCAATGACAGCTGCTTGTGTCAGAGATATGTAGTTTAAACAGACACTCGCAGATTCGTGTCATCCCAAGCCCTCCAAGAAGAGCGTCAACACATTTGTGAAAGTCTAATTATTGTTTGTAATAAAAAAATATAACTTAAGACTATAAAAATATGATAACCGAAGTCACTGAATCATTTAACAATATATATTCTTTTTCTTAATTTGTCTTCTAAATATGTCGAATCTGTTGATTAATAACACGTTTATAAAAACGTCCAGAATTACATAATAACATTGAATCGGGTGGAAAAACAATCAAACGATATTGTGTGTTATGGAATTTAGAACAATATAAAACTATGCAACAAACAAACACAAACCATACAATACATAAAACTACATTTCCCACAAGTCTGTTCGAACACTGCGCCAAACTAGCTGACTCGTGGGCGCCCTCTCCTGGCCGCGGCACTGGGACGCTTTCATGACTTCACTTCATGAGGCAGCATCATCCACACTGCTGCGCGGAACAGGTGAGGAGCTAGGGGCTGTTTCATATTATTTTACCACATTTCCTTTAAAAACTGTTCAGACCTTGTTATCAACCATTGTTCGCGTGTCTCTGTAGCAGTGTCTCTGTCGGAAACCACCACGCTGCTGCTCATTGATAACACCGCCAAACTGTCACCACTGGGAGCCCACATTGCGTTATGTCGTTTCCAGTTGTGTGTCTGATCTGTATACACGATAACCTCAAACATATTACAGGCAAATGTGGTGATGTGTGTCTTTATTGAGCTGTCATGATAATTTAATGTGTAATCGTAGTTTTAGGATTATGGCACTTTAACGTGAGGTGCAAAACACAGTCGTGACTTCAACAGGATGCCTTGCCATGACTGCTTACACAAACAACAACAATACCATAACAAAACCTCAACAAGTCATTAAAATCCAATGTAAACGTAAAATAGGCATAAAGCAGTGCTCATATATACTCTGTGCTTATATTCCATAAGTAGTAAGTAGTCCAGTGATTGTGTCTTGACGTTATCCATGGAACTGAGTATTTCCTTAATTCAGCCAAGTCGATGACTAACTAGGTTTTCTTTGGAGTGTTCTTTGCACTACCAGCAGTTTCTCTTCACATGACCAGTAAGCATTTGTTCCTCATTAGGTCAGTGCCACGTGAAGCATAACAGTGCTTTCTATTTTAATTTGCTGTTTGTTGTTTATATGTCTTATGGGTTTTTAAACGCTTCATTATGGTCCTTATGCCTGACGTAGCTTCTGTCTGCTGACACATGAATGACTCTTATTTCTGTGGAAACTACTGAACTTCTGTTGTGCTTTAGCTTGAAAAGAGAAATTGAATATGGCAAATTAGAGAGTTCACTCAGTGGCCATTGCCTTGGAACAGCAGGACCTTCCTGGATCATAGGGTAAACCCATATGTTGACTTCTTATATGTTTTTAAAGCCATCAAACCTTTACTTTCACGTTGCTGTGATTTGTGGCCCAGCTGCTGAGGTTTGGGCAGTGACCAAAGAAGCTGGAATTCACAAAAGAAATATCCATTGTTTTTGTAAATAAGAATAGATCAACTTTTGGAGAATAATCACATTTTGATAAAACATTCTTTATTTATAATTTGCACATGATATGCACAAATATGAGTACATGTAGTAAAAAATAAATAAAAAAGTCTTACTGTCTTTAACCTTTTCTATCATGGCAAACCTTCCAAATATATGAATTGTAAACTCTGGGTATTGCGCGGTGTCCTAGACCTGATTCACGAAGGGAGGCCACTTTCTATTCCAAGCAGAAATATGTCTTATAACCTTCAACATACTGTACTGATAATAGCCAGTGTTACTGCTCTCTGTACTTTGGCTCCTAATGGCGTCACTTCTATTTGCGTTTTATTAGTTTACTTTGTCTGAGATTAATTCACCTGTTTCCTCAATGTGCCAAGTTACCGACATAATTGAAATTCCCTCTAGTGTCATACCGCATTCACATGTCGAGAGTTCTGTGTCTATACTGTACATGTGCAACTTCTGCTATAGGAAATTATTATATTAGCATTATATTTTCTTTTATTTAGAACTAATATGAAAACTTGTAACATGGTTTGTATAAGAGAGAAGTACAACGAGTCTGTTCTGGAAATAAACAATATGTGAATGTCTCGTGGGATGTTTCTCATGTGATGTAGAATGTAAGTGCCCTCTGAGTTCTGTCCTTCACACTCTGATGTTGCTAATGTCCTGGATTCTGCTCGTCCTTATAAATCTGTACTGCTGCATTCTTTGACTATTTAATGTGTCTAAAGTAACTGCGGTGGCTATTGGTAATTATGACAGTATCGTACCCAGAAGAGCATGATGTGGACTGGTAAAGAATAAACTACAATGGCTTGTTATTTTACAGTACTGATGGAGAAACAAGCCTGCAGGGTGTAATTAAATCATCCTTGTCCTGATCTGGTGCAGAAAGGTGAAATCATGTGCAGCTCATTTCCTCTTTCCATTAATTTTTCAATAATTGTCAACATAATAGATGTCATTGTTAACTGTTCTATACCGATTATTAAGACTCAAACAGAGCAGTAATTGAAAACAAAATACAAGAAATGTGTAAATGTTGTCCTATTTAAATAAAATGGCATATGTATGTCCAAAACAAAAATTAATTGAATAAATAATTGCTTGATTGATCATGAAAGTAATCTTTTGTTACAGTCCAAATTGGTAATAAAATTCTCTGACAAATATCCTTATTTACTTTTACAGTAAGCATCCAAAACAAAACTCTTGATCCATCAACTAGTTATTTTTGTTGTTGTAATTTTATAATTGTATTTTATTTTAAATATGATCTGTTCATATTATGTCAACTTTTAGACCTGTATTTTTTGTTGTAAAAAGTAATAGGCCTGTAATGCATGAAATATATGAAATGTGCAATTATGCAGACCAATATAATGTTATTTTAGTTATTGTTAATTTTAGATATATAGATCTATTCTAAATTACTTTTGTATAACGCTTAATTACAGCAGAGAACAGAACCTTTCGAACACAGGAAATGCAGCAATAACAAACACATAGGAGCCATTGGTCTATAGGGAGCAGGATGACCAATGTCCATAAATGTTAATGAATAAATGGTCCGGATCATCACTTTCACTGTTTTCTAGTAAAAGTGTGATTCCTTCTTCTGAGGCATCTATAACTTCCTGAGGGGCACTCTGGTACAGCATGTCCTTTCTCTGCCCACTGGAATAATGAGTAGATAAGAGGAGATGACCAGACTGGAGCAGGACTGGGCTCTGCATTGACATTCAGGCTGGTAAAAAATAGCATTTATATCACGACTGTGTGTAGGTGACTTTTTCTCTGGACAGATGGCACCTACTGAAATGTTGTCCATGCTGCCAAAATAGTCTTATGTAATATAACTGCACCAATCAAACGTAATACCAATGAAAGCATTCACTCTATAATTATAGCTGTATCTTGTTTAGATATCTCCAAAATCTCATTCTTATCAACATGATCAATTTTATTATAATGAATAATTGGACGAAACAAGACCAAAGGTTCCTCTAAGTATAGTCTAAACATAGCTGTGTTTACAATGCCACGATGTCAAAGCAGATATAGGCATATTGTTTTGCCCTTTTGACAGTAATGGATGATTCTAGATCTCATTTCCTCATAGTTTTAGTGGAAGTTAGTTTTCAGGAAGCTGCCGCATACTTGACAAGCATTGCAGCTTCGACACTGGCCCAGAAGAATGCTTCTGTGTGGGTCATCAAGGCCGGTCCAGTAGTACTAGGTGGAAAGTGTCTGGTCAATAGGCAGCACCAATACTTTAAACACATGAATAGTCACCCAGCTAAACAGGACCGGTTAGTTTGCACGTGTCATTAGAATGTTTGCTCCATTGTTATTTTCATCCACTAAACTTGGTCACACCCATTGGCCACCTCTTCAGAATACGTCGGTACATAGGAGAGGGTTGAAAGAGATGAAAAACCATTGTGGCGAATGGCTGTGGTGGTTGGTTGTTTGGGTTTTTCTTTATTTCAATGCAATGCTGCTGTTTGTGTGGAGTCCACCCACTTAGAATACAAAGCAGGCTGGAGCTTTAATGTGGGGCCAATACAGGACAAGAACTTTGACACTGAAGCAGGAAGTCCAAGGGCCCGAGGGAGTTGAGCACGAGGAACGATGTAACAGGATAAAGTCAATGAAATATGCATGATGAGCGGCTATATCTGCTCCCACTGTGCTGTGAAAATTCAAGACCGACTGGGTGGTGATACTTGGAATACTTTTGTGTGTTTTTGTATGTCAGTTGTTTAAAAATGTATTAGCCCAAAATGCTGTAACAAGACCGTTGAGACAGCAGGCGGAATAAGAAAGGCATTGGGTCACTATGTAGACCTTGAGCTTATTGATTGAACTGTAGAAATTGTATCTATTACTAGTCAATAATGAGGTCATAATATATAATAATAAAATATTGGAGATTTTTTTCAACTAAATTAAAGTCATATTTGCTGCCCACCCGAATAATTGGTGTATGGTTCCTTACTATTTATTTTATTTCAATTACAAACATTTCTTTGTGAAAGTTGCCTAAATGAAAAGTTATGGAGCAAACTGGATGCAGATTTTGGTATTTACTTAAATTTCAATCCAGGTCAAACTGTCAGTTGAGGCGTTCAAACAACATGATCACTAAATATTTCAGATTTCACACCAAAATAATTGATTTTTATTCAATTTATGTTTTGTGAGTAGAGTTTGGGTGACGTACATCATCATTTTAGAGCATGGAATACATATATATCAGTCTGACATTGTAAAGCTGTTACACTGATGCAATGGCAACAGTAAGGCTTCAATGTGTCACAATAACAAATCTGATTCGTTTAAAATTTAGGAGGTCCGTATATTGAGCAGCACAAGCCATCCTCAACACATTTCTATGCAGAGTC